TCCAAATTTAAAGTAATCTATTACGAATATATTAATTATTAAACCTACATTGTATCGTTTTAATAGGTCGATGAGCGTAGATTGAATGTTATCACAACTAAACAGTCAAGAATAGCAAAAGGGGGTGAGTGCATAATACAGTGACTTAAACATACCAATTTTAGAAATAGGTTTCTGAAGTTCAATTCGACTTGCAGAATATCTTACACTATGTGCTATTTTCATCAATGATGAAGTGAGAATACACATGCCAACTGATGCTTTAGATAAGAAAAGTAAATCAGCCAACATCAACCAAACAGACTGACAGAGATGAACAGATTACAACTCGACCAATAGCTGTTACCTTGATGTGGTAGTCGAGGTAGTAATATCACGATGATCCAGTGAGGCAAATTGGGCGGAAATGAATTAGTATTAGCTGGTTAGAGTTGAGGTGAACAAGTGTTCATTTTCCATTTCAGTCTGTTCATTTAAAATGTCATACAATGAAGGAACAGTATCATATTTACTGGATAACATCGTTTTGGACACAATCTATTCGTCACATTCACACAGAGTTTATATACTCCTAATCTTTTCCTCCTTATCTGTCAGATAACACAACGACTCATGATGACAGGGTTGGGAGAGAATGCAAAGCTTGTGCTGTGTTACCATGTTATAGGGGAGGCATCTACCTGAGAAGCATTACGAAGAATTGTCAATGAGGCTGGTTGGGATTAAAGTGACGTTTAAACCAAGAAACTCGCTTAGAAACAAGCTTTACAAATTAAACGATCCTATTGATGCAATTCAGCAAAATAATCTGGTTTATCAAATCGCTTGCAATGATTGTGAGGTCGAATAGTCGAATAGATAAGATTAGTCGACCAGGGTTGATTAGAATAACAGATCACAAAAAGCTGGTTAAATCAAGGTTGGTAGATGCTAATACAATACAATAAGAAATGTAGAGAAAAGTTCGACTATAGCTGTGCATACAATTACTCACAATCACATTATTATTATTAGTCCCTTGGGTTCCTAATGGAACATAAGGCTTCAGTATCACGTCTCCAATGCATTCTGTTCTCTGAAATCTTTTGAACCTGGCTACAAGACAGCCCACAACCTCTCATTTCCTCCTCACACGATCTCCTCCATGTCAGCCTAACCTTGGACGCCCAACTACTCGCTTCCCATGGGGTTCCACTCGAGTGTCTGGCTGGCCTGACGCGTGATGTCCCCAGTCGGCCTTCTCACTGTATGCCCAATCCATCTCCACTTCCTTCCACTGCATATTTGTTTAGTAATAGGTTCTTGGTTGGTTCGTTCCCAGAGCTCCTGTTGCTCATTCTTTCTGACTATGCCATCTGATTTTCAGTAGCGAGCGTAAGCAGTTGTTGATGAATGTCTGTAGTTTATTCGAAATCCCTTTCGTAACGCGCCAAGTCTCTCAACCATACAGAAGTACTGACTTGACGTTATTGTTAAAAATCCGGATCTTGTTCCACATGCTGATTGCAGAACATCTCCACACTGGTTTCAGGTTAATGAACGCCTGTCTCTGGCATTCTCGTCTGTGCCTGTGGCGCCTGTAGTTGAAACAGTGCTGCATAGATAGGTGGAGGTTACTTCCTTTAAGTTTCTCCCGTTCATGGTGATTGGAGTTTGTTGTTGTTGTTGGAGTTGTTGGTGCTGTATCTTCATCACCTCCAGCTCTGTCTTCTCTATATTCACTTGAAGTCCCGTCTTCGCTGTCCTGACTCTTATGCAAACTTCCTAGTTTTCGCCTGTAGATCTTCAAGTTTGTGTGACATCAGACACAAGTCATCAGTGGCGAAATCCAAATCTTCTATGTTCTTTTCATCGGTCCAGTCAGCGTATCCCCCACTTCTCACAGCTCCCCACTGTTGTCTGCTGCCAGTCGAGTCTACCACAATCAGGAATATCATGGGGGATAGTAGACAACCTTGTTTCACTCCTGTCTTCACTTCCACTCCAAAGGCATCACTGAGCTGAGCTTCCCACTGTGAATTACTTCGCATGTGGCATCTTCATATAGTTGTTGAATGAGGCGGATAAAGGCTTGTGGTATTCCGTAGTATTGAAGCAGTTTCCAAATTACCTCTCGATCGACGCTGTCAAAGGCCTTCTCAAAGTCGATGAGGCCGAGCTGAGGTAGAGGGTTGACTGTCATTCTATACTCTGCTCTATGATGATGCGAAGCGTTGCAATTTGGTCCGCACATGATTTGGTACTTGCTGAATCCAGCCAGCCTGCCTGTTCCGGTCGTAGTCTTCAATCCCGTGCATCCTTTAGCCTCTTCTCTCCAGGATGATGCGGCTCAATATTTCGCTTGCTTTGGGTGGACAGGACAGTGATTCAGCGCCAGTTCTTGCAAACACTGAGAACTCCCTTCTTCGGGAGTTTGACAAGGTAACCCTTCTTCCAATCGTCAGGTACCTTCTCTTCCTTCCACACTTTCTGCAATAGTGGTGTGGTGTGAGCATGTCCGCTGTTGTCTCCGCGTCTGTTCTCAGTGCTTCTGGTGGGATCCCATCTGGTCCTGCTGCTTTCCCACATTACAGTAGCTTTATGGTGTTCAGGACTTCCATTTTTGTTGGAGGATTTATGTTCACTTGTAGTTCAGTGGCTGTAGGTGGTATGTCTGGAAGAAGTTCAGGTGGTGGTGGTGGTCGATTGAAGAGCTTCTTGAAGTGGTCGGCCCATTGTTTCCTTTGTTTCTCTTCTTTCGTAATTAAATTTCCATCATCATCTTTTATTGGTTTCATCTGTGTTGATCTCTTCCCTACCAGATAGTAACCTGGTTATTTGATACAACGTTGTCAGGTCTGCATCTTTACTACCTGCAGCCTGTTCTGCTTCACTTGTCAGTGTTTCGTAGAAGTGTCTTTTGTCTTTCCACCCACTCTTTTTCACTTCTTTGTCCAGTGTAGTGTTTTATACATTGTACTCAGTTCCTCTTGTCGTTGTGCATCCTTGCACTGGTTTATCTTCTGCTTCACCATCCTCAATTCCTGCTCTATCAGCTTCCATGTATCCTTGAGATCCATTCCTTATCTTCTTTCTTCTTCCTTCCTAATACGGCTGTGCAGGTTTCTTTCCACATAGCTTTCAAAGACTTCCAGTGTTCTTCCACTCAGGTTTCTTCACGGATGTTCCCCGATATCTCCCATTTTGTCTTCATGCTGACTGTCGTGAAGATGTCTCTTGTAGTTTCGTCCTTCACTTCAGTCTGTGTTCTGGGTGGGTGTTCAACTTGAACCGTGGTCTACCAGCAACTTACTGGAAGGCTTTCAACTTGATTTTGAATGTATGTAGGTTCCTTGCACTAGACAGTGAGTGGTCTGAACCTACATCTACTCCCCTTCTTGACCTTGTGTCAAGTAGGCTGACTGCGTCTCCACTTTCTTCACATTCAGATAAAGTCGATCTGATTTTTAGTGTGTCCATCTGGTGAAATCTATGTGGCTTTATGGATATCCTTGTGTTTGAACACACTGCCTCACCTCCAATCACCGAATCGTTGAATGCACAGAATTCTGCAAACAATTCTCCATTCTCCTTCATCACCTCACCGAGCGCTTCTCCACCCATGGTTAGTTCTCTTCCTGTGTTGTCCACTCCCAGTTTGGCATTCATGTCACTCCGCCCATTAGAATTTTGATATGGCCAACTGAGGCAGTGTCTTGTCCAGTGTTGATTGAAGTTGTCTGTAGAATTCCTCCTTCCTCTCCTGGCCTACATTATTTGTAGGTGAGTATTGTAGCATAGCATTGTATGATTGTGACCTTCCTTCCTTCCTTCCTTTCGAGTTGAATCCATCTTGCTGTTATGATCCTGATTGTGGAGGAGATTGGTTGCCACTGCATGAGAGAGGGCGTTTGATGCTGTTGGGGACATCATGATAGCCACTCCATAACTCAGTGTGCTCGTGTTTGTCGTCTGGGTGACAATATCGGAGTAGATTATTGATTCTCGAGTTGACAGTTTGGAGAGTCCACTCCCATTCCATCTGCTTTCGCAAATTCCAAGCACTTCAATATGATACCTCTTCATCTCCTTTGCAATCTGGGCTCCCCAGCTGGGTTCAAACATGGTGCGGACATTCCATGTCCCACGTTTACTTTCGCTTTCATCGAGGGATTGAAGACACATCGGCCAATTGGCTTCCCGAAGGCTTTCACCAACTGGCGTCATTTTGCCTCCCCGATTCCAGTGAGGAATATTTTTGTCATTATTTTTTGTATCTCGTTTGTGCTTTGAAGTTTCTTTAGCGGTTAGATTTGTTTTACAGGGTAGGGTTGCTAGCGGTATGCCCAACCTTCCCTCTTACCGGACTTGGGACCGGCTAGTAACTAGTGGGGTCAAATGGAGGGATAGATTGATAACCGAGTCGTTGTTTATCGAATTGACAAGCACCAAATGCATGCGGTAATAGAAATGATTGATTGTGTACCTGTCCCAGATGTGTGTATTGTGTTATCTGACAGAGAAGGAGGAAAAAAATAGGAGTATATAAACTCAGTGTGAAGGTTGTTGGGTTAGTTACCTGTGAATGTGACGAATAGATTGTGTCCAAAACGATGTTATCCAGTAAATATGATACTGTTCCTTCATTGTATGACATTTTTAATGAACAGACTGAAATGGAATAAACATGTCATTGTCGTATTTATACTTTCATATAAACCATCTAGTCACTAGCAATCAGTCACTCTATGACGAACAAAGCACAGTATAGTACAGAATACAATTTCACAGTAATCTTGTCTACTATTCGAAAAATGCAGAAATCCAGTTGTATCCAAAGTTACATTTTTGCCTATGATGAGTAACTTGAAAATAGAGTGGAGTAATTGACAAGAAAAACTCACTCTCAGCGAACGATAACAAAAACGCAAGATATGCATATATTCATACCTTTACTGTCATACATGCACATACACACACACAATAGCACATAGAAAAAAAGAGAAGATAAATTCACTCACTTGAGCTACACCTTGTTGATCAGCTGCTGCATGATTCGATATGAATGCACTTAGTGCAGGATAGGTGATTGAACCCATTGCAGCAATTAACCAGCTGACCATAATAATACTGGATTTGTAGTAAAACCATATAAAGTTAACTGAATTGCTTCAAAGATTAAACCAAAAATAATCACTCGTTTCGGTCGCATTACACGATACAATAGCGATAAGATAATTGTCTGTCGAAAGAGAGAAACACGGTGAAAATATTACTGTCAATGATGATATAACTGACAGAGTATGCTGCACAACAGTTTGTGCTGTTCGTAACTGGGAATTCTTATCAGTATCAAGAATATTGTCTAGAATAAAATGGTTACGATAATCATTAAAACTTACTATATAGATAGGTGTGAAGCATAGCCATTAAAGGTAGAGGACATGAGAACACTTCAGGTATCGACCACTGTTACCTTCACAGCATTGCCACATGTTGTGGTGTCATGACGGTAATAGCTTAGAAATGTAACTACAAGTAAGTTGTACGATGACGTTGTGAACCTACATTGAATCAAGTAGCTGGAATATACGTCAGTGTTTGTCCCTTTCCACTCATTATATTAGCCAGAGGAGGTTCATTCAAGAAATAGATTATAGGTATCCAGATTAAAACAGCAAACGTCCATAGAGTCTCTGACTATTGGTCGGAGCCGCGTTAACAAATGTAGACCTCCTGGTCATGGTCTACTTCACAACCGAAATAGGTGGTTGGAAATCCTTAATGGCGTGACCAGAAATCGATCTCAGTGGCACAGATAAATGCACACATTATTTTCATCTGAATCATTATGCCGACTCTCAGCTATTCTTCTACTCCGTTTCCTTTCCGATTGTTTTTTTAGCTATTTTCTTCCATATTCCTCTATCTTCTACCTTGGTACCTTTTCTCTTGATGTAAGGTGTGGCAACTTGAAGCGTAACGAAGTAATGCCAGATCCTACGCTCATATCAACCGATTGACTGATGATATCTTTTTTTGTCAATCAATATCAAGTTGTCACTTCTCATATCAACATATTAAGACATGAGGCAACACATTGAAAACGTAGAAATGGAAATAATATAATCAAAAGCCAAAAAGCCACAGGATAAGAACAGTAGTTTAAGCCTTTTATGACATGTGATATAACAGTTAAAACTGAGGTTAGAGTTGTGGATGTATTACAGTCAGTGAGATTGATGCTTAGCTACACAGATTATCACTTGACTATCTGAGATAGCCGTAGTTTGGCAGACTAGTATTTATACTGGGTGATGATTAAAGGTGAAATGAAAATTTGGACTGGAGCCGGATTCGAACCAGCGACCATATCACCCAGAATTTGTAATCATAGATTTCAGTTGTATTGGAGATGCCAACTTGAGTTATTACATTCTTTGATAGGATTCGAACTAACTCTAAACAACTAAATGTATGATGATGTTCGATAGTTCTTGATAGCATTTCTCTCACTATAATCCTACTTCAAGTAGCATAGTACATTTTATTGGTCGGTGATTCGACATGTTCACTACATTTACTCATTACCTCAGTCAATGAATGCTTACAACCTAATGAACTATATACCCAACGTCTAGATTATTCTCATCTAGTGATTTTATGACACACAGGTGACCTTTCGAAAAAAATTATGGTCAAGTACATTTAGCTTCTTTTCAATCCCTTAGGTTTAATGACTTCATTTCATATTCATACACTATGCAATAACTCATCCCCCTAACAAGTAATCCGATGGTTCCGCTAAACTTTTGTTGAGCATAAATATGCGACAATCTACTTAGATTCAAATGGTAGAATTTGACAAACAGAGTGACAAAATCAATCTATAACCTCATACACAGGTGGATCGGTTCAAGTTGCCACACTTCACAGCAGCACAAAAAGAACAGATGGATAGAAAAGAAATGATATCAAAGTAGATGAAGTAGTATGAGAGAATAAACAGTTTCAATATAATGGTTAGTGAGAACATTCAGACTTTAGAAGTCAAACAGTGAATACATCTCTGCCATTGTGACCGATTTTCAGCCATGTCACCAACAGTTCTAAACCATTTGGTCCTTTTCGTTTCGGGGACACCAACCAGGTAGTCTGTATTTCTCTACAGGGTTTAGACCAACAATCAGAAACTTCATCGACTGGTGCCACGTCTTGATTTGCTCACCATGAACCCTCTTCCGACTTAATCCAATTTCCTTTAGCATGACACGTCGAGGAAGGTGGCAGCTCGGTATGCGTAACACATGTTCAAGTCATCTCAATCAACTTGCCTAATACTCTTCACTTGACTTCAACATTGTCCATTATGTAACATAGAAAAGTAAAATACTATAGTCTTGTGGCAGTTCGATTAGCGTTGAACACTAACAACTAGACAGATACATCTATTACATAATGATGACCAATTCGTGTAACACCACAGATAATTATATCTATAGCTTGATATGTACTTTGTACAGTAAGTCGAATAAAATCGAATCAATATACACTCAGCAAGAAGGAAGTGGAGATGGATTGGGCATACACTGAGAAGGCCGACTGGGGACATCACGCGCCAGGCTCTCGAGTGGAACCTAGATGGGAAGAGACGAGTTGGACGTCCGAGGGTGACATGGAGGAGATCGTGCGAGGAGGAAATGAGAGCTTTGGGCTATCATGGAGCCAGGTTAAAAGAGAAGACTGCAGACAACAGAGTGCACTGGAGACGTGCTACTGAAGCCCTATGTTCCATTAGGAACCCAAGGGACTAACAATAACAATAATAATAATAATACACTCAGCAACCATATGTACAGTTGTCCAGTAAGCAATAAACCACAGATTTATTATATGAAGTCTAACATATTTACTACCTAGCTGCCGAAACCTATGTAAGTGGAACGATGTTCAAACTCGCGATCACTAATTGAATATCAACTCTGTACACTAATCAGGTAAAACTATACAATAAAAAGATTGAGAATAAAATTGTAACCAGTTTCCTCAGAAAGTGTATTTAGTCTATTATAGGTTAGTTGTATGATTTTTCATTCCCTGCTATGAACAATAGAATACTTTCATAATAATAAATAATTATATCGGAGGGAGAGGGGCGGGGGGGGGGGGGTAGAACTTTGTTATAAACACATATGCATAAATTAACAATAATTTCCAATCGTTTTCTATCACAATATACTATCAAGATTATAGACTTGATCTTAATTGCTTAATAAACAATCACTTCAATTTATCAACATATTACAATCATCTAAAAGAACATGAAAATAAATCTCTAAACATAATTATTTAAAAACTAAATAAGCTATTATACGTTTAGTTGTTATGCCTAGATAAAAATGTATCAATAAAAAGATAAAATGATGACCAATCTTAATAATGAAAGTAATACACAACATTTGATCTAATTAAATTCATGAATCTACACATATAGGCAGTAAAAAAAAAAGAGTTTACTTCACTAAAATCTATGGAGTTCATTCAACTGCAAAATGTATTTTAACTTGCTGAATATAAATCCAAAACATTTTGTTAATTTAAGTGAACAATTGTTTTTAATAATTTTCTTCTTCGTCTTCAGGTTCTACATTTATATAAATCCATGAGAACATGTGTAATAAAATAGCTAAAATAAGGCATGATATACAAATTTAGTAAAGATAAATAATGGCTAACAGTGTAATCCAGGATGCGGATTTCGGCCCATTTAGAACTCGTCAGCTGGATGTATTCTGCCTGCCAGTGAGTGACGAATCCGGAGCTATACTCATCAAGTGGTGTCCGTCAAGGATGCCCACTATCCCATTCTTATTTAATTTTATCATAGATATTCTTATGGAGGTTTCCCTCTCGTCACCTAATTACAGAGACGTTGACCGATCACAGGTGAATTTTCTTTAGATCTAGAATATGCAGATGACATAGTCCTGTTAGGTGAAGACGCTGACAAGATGCAGAGTCTTCTGAACACTTTGAGTGGGAATTTGAGAATGTTTGGCATGCGATTTTCACCACCCAAATGCAAATTTTTGCTCCAAGACTGGTCTTCAGCGGTACCGCGGTTAACAATAGAGAGTGAAGTGGTTGAGTGTGTTGACCACTTCACTTACCTGGGAAGTAGGATCAACCTCGGTGGGTTAGTTGCCGATGAGATTTCTGCACGGATACAAAAGGCTCGATTGGCTTTCGCCAATTTGCGCCACCTATGGCGCCGCCGTGATATTCGTTTGTCTATTAAGGGTCGCGTGTACTGAACAGCAGTCCGCTCTGTTCTACTCTATGGGTGTGAAACATGGCCATTGAAAGTGGAAGATATAAAAAGGCTTCAGGTGTTTGACCACCGTTGCCTTCGTATATAGGACGTATTCCGTGGTGTCACCATGTGAGTAATGCAGAAGTTAGGTGTAGAGTTTTGGGAGAAGAGATAAATCAGTTGACGAGGTTGTGAACCTTCATCGACTGAGATGGTTGGGACACGTACACGTATGCCTAGTCACCGATTGCCTCATCACACAATGTTGGCTGAGGTGGGTCCAGGCTGGAAAAAGGCCCAGGTGGCCAGACTAAAACATGGCACCAATGTATGAAGTCTCTGACTGTTGGTTTAAGCCATGTAGGACGATGCAGACTAGGTGGTTGGGGTCCACGGGACAAGAGGAACCAGTGGTTGGAGACCCTAGGTGATATGGCTCAGAACCGAAGTCAGTGGCGTAGATGTATACACACACACACATTATCCTCGTCTTAACAACGCTATACCGAATCTCACCATTTTGTCACTCCTCTTTCCTTTCTTCTCGTACTTTATATTTCTTTTGACTGCATTCACTTATCTTCATCCTTCACCTCACTACTTTTTACTTGATGTGCTGATATGAGGTGTGGCAACTCGGACCGTTAGGCAGTAATGCCTGGTCCTATGTTGATAATGATGATGATGACGAATCCCGGTGGGAACAATATCACTCACTGGGAGGCAGGTGCATCCAACTGACGAGTCCCAAATAGGACGAAGTCCGCATCCTGGATTACACTGTTAGCCATTATTCATCTTTACTAAAATTGTATATCATGCCTTATTTTAGCTATTTTATTTCACATGTTCCCAGTGCTAGCAAACAATGAACGTCGTGGAAGCCGTTGGGATAACATGTGTAACACATGCCTAAGTCACCGAAGCCG